GGCTAGGGCCCTGAAGGCTCATGCCGGATCCTCAGCCTCTCTTCTCCCTTCTGCAGTTGTGGTCCTCGCTTGGTGCGGTTTGGGGGAGCCCTCTGTCGCCTCTTTCCCCAGGTGCTGAACATGTGGCGGGCTGGCCAGGATCTGTCCTCCCCTGGGCTGCAGCGGCCTTACAGGTTGGTGATGGAAGGTCTCTGGGGCTGGCTGCCGGTACCTCCCCCCCTTGTGGCCCAACTCACAGGGGTTGATCCTCATCTGCAGAAGCCTTGGGCCACGGGCTCCCACCGTCCCAGGCCAGCCACCCTTGCTTGGGCCTTTGTTCTGTCCCTGGGTGGGACAGCCGAGAGCCCGTCCCCTTCTCCCACAGTCTGATTCTTTGGCTGGAACTGCTGCCAGGGATGCCCCCTGCCCCCCACCTCTGGGAGGCAGCATGATGAGGAACTTGCCTTTCCCCGTCTCCTCAGTGCGGTTCGGGCTCGGCTGTACCAGGTCCTGGATCTGTGGGTACAAGTGGCCGGAGCAGCCTCTGGGGTCCTGCTGGGGCACAGCAGCCAAAGTGATGCCCTGCTGGGACACTTCATCAACGACATCAGCCCCCCGAGCGACACCCTGAAGGTGAGACACCCCCCCCACCTTCTCCCCGGGGGGCAACCCAGGAGGCAAGGGCTGCACTCCCTCACCTGCTTTGCCCCCACCCAGATCCAGTTGAGCCCCGCCTCGGAGGGGAAGCCCAGCGCTGCCAAGAAGCCCAAACTGTCAGCGGTGGGCAGCCTCGGGTGCCCATTCCGTAAGCATGACCCTCAGGCCAACAGCGACGTGTGCCTGGCCGCCTTGCAAGGTGACTTTTCCGCCAGGCGGCTCTTGCTGGGGTTGGGCTGCTTTGGGGTTAGGGGAAACACGGAGGCCCTAAAAGGCCTGGCCCAGAGCTCGGCCAGGAGTGCATGGGGACAGACGGGGCTCCCTCTTCCCAGTCCCTTCCTGAAAGGGGCTGGTGGTGACCCACATCTGGCCTAGGGCAGCCCAAGCAAAACTTTTCTTTCCCAGGTCTGAGCCGGATCATCCTCCTCTCCGGCAGCCTTATGAAGGAGCAGCTTCACACGGTGAGCCAGGCCGATTCCCATGGCCGGTGGGGTCACAGGCTCGGCCATCCCAGGATGTGGGGTGTGGGAGGGTTAGGGTTAGACCTGTGCCAAGGGAGGAGAATGCTTTGGTTGAGCGGGAGGCCCTTTGCATGTGCTCAGAGACCCCTGCCACTCAGGGGAGGCCCTCTCAGGTCTTCCAAGCACACAGAGCAGCTCAGCATTTTTGGAGTGTGTGTCTGTCTACCCGGCCCCCCTGCCCCCCGCTGCTCTTGCTGAGAGGCCCTCGCCCTGTTTCTCTCTCCCAGAGGTTGCAGGAGCTGGCGATCCCGCTGCTGATCCAACTGGGTCAGGCGGAGCTGCCCCTGGGATCCCCCTTCGCTGGAGCCAGCTGCAGGCGTGAACTCTACCGGCTCCTGCTGGCCTTGAGCCTATCTCCTGCCCCTGCCTGTCCCCCGCCTCTGCATTGTGCCCTCCGGCTGCTGAGCCAGGGCCGCACGGATCCCAACCTTCTGGTGAGGCGTTTTCCCCCAGGGATCCCTTGCTTAGCTGGACTGAAGCAGGGAGCGCAACCCCAGGACCCTTCCCCTCTGCCTGGGGGGTCCAGCCTGGGCATTTGCATCTCCAGGGGCCTTGAGGGAGGTGCCGTTTGCTTTGCCCCAGGGGAGGCCTGAATTAGTGGCTCTTCTCTGGGGCTGTCGATTCTCCCCGTGCCTGGCACTCCTCATCTTCCTCCTGCAGGTCTCCTCCTTCTGCACAGAGGCAGCAGTCATCTGCAGCGCTCTCCTTCACCCTCGGGTGCCATCCTTGCAGCTCCCCCTAGCTGCCCCATCTGCCCACCTGCCTGGCTCCTTGGAGGTCTCCCCTGCTGCGGCAGTTGCGGCTGCCACCCTGTCTCCCTTCTGCCCGGCCATCCCGGTGCCCTTCCCTGCCCCACGGCCCCTCCCTCCGGCCCCTGGGCCTCTCCCTCCCAACTCGCTGGGCCTGCCCCTGCCTGGGTTTGCAGCCCCTCAGCCGCCGCCCCGCCTTGTCCCCGAGGAGCCCCTACCCCCTCCATCTCCAGGCACCGCAGAGGCAGCTGCTCTGGCCACCGGAGCAAAGTTACGGCGCTCCGTCTTTGTCCATTATGACAAGGAGGAAGAGGACGATGTTGAGATATCTCTGGAGAGCGACTCGGACGACAGCGTGGTCATTGTGCCCAAGGGGCAGCTGGGGAAGACGACCGGCGCCCTTAACTCTGCTACAGTCCCTGCGGCTGCTCCAGCACCCCCGCCCCTGCCTGCCCCCCCCCCCCCCCCCCTCCTCTCCCGGCATCCCCTTTGGTGGCCTGTGAGGAGGCCCCCTTGGAGCCCCCAACGCCTCTTTCCTTGGGAATCCCACTGCCTGCCTCGGCCACGCCGGTGCTGCCGTCTTCCCCGGTTGCAGTAGCTGCCGAAGCCCCCCTGCCTGCTCTGCTGGAGGAGGACCCCACTGTCATCAACATCAACAGCAGCGAGGAGGAGGAGGAGGACGACGATGACTTCCCAGAGGACGAAGAGTACCTGGATGAGGAAGAGGAGGTGAGGATGGGGTGGGGCAGCACTGGTGGCCCTGGCCTCAAAGCTCCTCCCCCCCACCCTCCGGTATGGGGCAGGGGAGTCAAGCGTCCCTTGGGGAAGTGTGGTTATGGTGGAGCCCACTGCTCTCGTCCCTGGGCTCAGGCCCGGCTCGAGGGTGGCCGGCCTCCATTCCTTGGCAGAGCAGCTGCTTTGTGGGGGTGGGGGTGTTCAGAAGCTTCTCTCCTCCGGCTGGCCAGGAGGAAGAGTTTGATGAAGAGGAGGGGGACTTTGAGGAGATGGACGAGGAAGAGGATGACTTTGATGAGGATGATGAGGAGGGCCTGACAGAAGAGGAAGAGGAGGAGGAAGAAGGCCTGACGGATGAGGAAGAGGAGGAGGAGGAAGCAGGGCTGCCTCCTCTGCCCCGAAGGAACGAAGACGAGCCTCCAGCGCTCCTGCCTGCTGTGAAGGACGGGCCCCTCAAGCTGCCAGAGGAGGAGGAGGATGATGGGGGAGCTGGGCTGCTGATGGAGGTCGAGGAGGAAGCCTTCCACCCCCCTGAGGAGGAGGAGGAGGAGGAGCAGGAGGAGGAGCAGGAAGGAGAGAGGACGGTGGGGGCCCTGCTGCTGCTGAAGGCAGAGGAGGACACGGCCTTGCCTCTGCTCCCTGGGGCCCAGCCCCTCCCTCTGCCTCCCCTGCAGGAGGGGCCTGGCCTGCTGGGGGCCCCCATGGATCAGGAGGGCCACCCTGAGCAGAAGGAGGGCGCCGTGGAGGCAGCATCTGCAGTGTCTCTGCAGCCAGAGGAGGCCATCCACGCAGGCTCCAGCGTGGACCGGGCGCGAGCCAGCCCAGACTCTGCGGCTGGGCAGGGGGAGCCAGAGAAGCTGCTGCAGCCAGACGAAGAGGTGGTGGAAGTGAAGGAGGAAGAGGTGAGAGGCGGGGAGGGCCATCTGAGGGCAAAGGAGGGGAGGCCCTCCTCCTGGAATGGAGGCTCAGAAGCCCCCGGGGCAAATGTGCTCTGCTTGTGTGTTTGGAGTTGTGTTCTGTGTTCGAGAGCAAAGGGCCACCCACCCCATTGCTCGGACCCTCTTTCTGGCGATCTGCTTGCCAGCGCTAATGCCAGTCTGATGTTGCCTCATCGGCCCTAGTTTTGAGGGGAGCTTAAAAACAATGCACAAGCCGGGACTGCTGGTAAGTTCACGGGGACGCCTGGATGGGTGTCTTGGCAGCATTGAGTGAACTGCTGACTTTTTCTGTGGAGCTTCTGGGTTTCCTCGCTGAGCCCTTCGTGCTGTGGGGTAGTTCGGGGTCTCCAGTTCAGGCATTAGGGGAGTCTGACTCAGTTCAGCTTTGTCAAAATCGACCTCTGGTTTACAGGGCAGTCCAGGGAATGTTCTACACCCAGAGGGGGAGGGGAGTTTTGCTCTTGCTGGCTTGGGTCCCCTTAGAGCTGCTCCATGTACCCCCTCCCCCATTCCCTGGGCAAAGAAGCCTCAGCTGTCCCCCTCTTCAGAAGTGACCAGGGATGGTCACTTCTCCCCTTGGCGGGTCCCTGCTCCGAGGCCCCGTCTGGCAGTGGCTCATGGGGCAGGGGTTCTTTCGCTGCTGGTAATTTGCCCAAATTTGTAATTGCTGTGGAAAACCCAGTTTTTGGAGATGGCAATAATATTAGTGGCGACCAGGAACAGGAGAGTTGGATTACCGGGCTGCCCCCTTGGGAGCAGCCCTGCCACACCCCTCCTCCTGGATGTGCTCCTGGGCCCTCACGGGGGGAGCTGCGGCTTCTGGTCAGCCTTGGCTGCCGGGGCCGCTCCCGTTGCAAGCCCTGGAGGTGCTTTGAGCCGGTGGGCCCAGCTGACGGCGGCTTTTCTCCCCCCCCCCCAGGCCAGGGCCCTGGATGAGACGGAGGCCATGCTGGCAGACTTCGTGGACTGCCCGCCGGACGAAGAGAAAGACCCCGCCCAGCCCTGCTCCTGAAAAGAGCGGCGGGGGCTGCTCCGAACAGCCGTTGCCTTTGGTGTTTTTTCACTCTGGAAGTTCAATAAAGTTTTCCCCTGGAGCACGTGAACCGCGTCTGGCTTGCTGGGGCTGGCGGGCGGCGTCCCTTCCTGCGCTGCTGGCGGGGTGGGGAGGCCGCCGCCTGCTCTCTGCCCCACGGGGAGGGGGAGGGGGAGGGGGTGGGGGCGGGATTTGGAACCGGCGGCTTTTGCGGACTGTTCCATGTGACGCCAGCAGGGGGATCCGCTGCGTCTGCCCTGTCCCAGCCTTCCGCCCGCGCTCCAGGCTCCAAAGGCGCCCTCTGCCGGTCAGGCCACGCGGTCCCTCTGGCCTGTCGGAATGGAGCGCTGCGCGCGCAGCCGCCGACGCGCCTCCGCTGCGGTCCTGCCCCGCCCCTCGGCCTCGTCCATCGCTTCCTGGCGCAGGGGAGGCCAGCGAAGCGGCGGCGTCCCCCGCTCCTCCGCGCGAGTGGTGCCGCTCCTCTGGTGACCTGCCAAGGGCAGCCGGCGGCGGCGGCGGAGTCTGCTGCGGCGGGACGGTCGGTCGGTCGGTCGGAGGCTTCGCGTGTCGGCCTGGCCATGGCTTCGCTGCTGTGCTGCGGGCCGAAGATGGCCGCCTGCGGGATCGTGCTCAGCGTCTGGGGGGTCATCATGCTGGTAAGAAGCGGACCGGCCGCCCTGCCTGCCCGGTCGGGGTGGGAGCGCGGAGGTCCTGGCCGCTGCTCGGGAAGGCGCCGCTCGGTCCCGGCCCTTCAAGGCGCCCGAGGGAGTCGTGGTCGGTGGGCGCAGGGGTCCCCCCCCCACTTTCAGCCGTGCCTAGCTGCAGCGACGCGGGCCCGGCAGGGTGACGTTCGGGTGGGCTTGCGACCCTCCTGCGGGCGGCTCCTGCCATTCCCCGCCGACCCTCCCCGGCTCCCCCTTGCAGGTGCTCCTGGGCCTCTTTTTCAACGTCCACTCCGCTGTCCTGATTGAAGACGTTCCTGCCACCGAGAAGGAGTTCACGTGAGTCGGCGGCGGGGCCGGGAATCCGGGTGCCGGCTGTGTGCGTGGGGTAGCGGGGCGAGGACCCCCTTTCCGCAACGAGCCCTCCTGTCTCCCCTCTTTGCCACAGGTCCGGGGTAACCGCGATCCACGCGCTGTACGACCAAGTCAGCTACAACTGCTTCATTGCCGCCGGCCTCTATTTCATCCTGGGGGGCTTCTGCTTCTGCCAAGTGCGCCTCAACAAACGGAAGGAGTACCTGGTCCGCTAATGGCCGCTTCCTCCGCTGGAGCCCCTTCCCCGCTCCCCTTCCACGGACTCCCCCTGGGCAGGGGCCCCGGGGAAGGGAAGGGCTCTCCGTGGCTCTGTGGAGCCCCTTTTCTTACGCCGGCCCCCTCCGCATCCGCTCTGCCCTTGGTTCCCTTTATTTAAACCCCAGGAAGAGGTCAGTTGGCACCGCCCTTCCTCTGTTGCCCTGCGGCTGACCAAAAGAGAACGGCCATGTTGTGTAAATAGCCGAGGTGTTCTCCCTCCCCCTCCCCCCCCATTGGCATCTTCCTGGCTCCAAGGTTGGGCCTCCATTGCCCGGTTTGCCAGCAGCCAGTCCTCCCCGGTTTGAGCCGTCTCCGTGCTCTCTCTGTTTTGTCTTGATCGTGATGCTTTGCCCAGGCCGCTCCCCGGGGCTGGAAGGAACGGGCGTGCGGAGGCAAGGAAGCCTCTGACCCGGGGAGGGGGCTGCCATGGGGCACCCCTCTTCCTGCCTCCTCCCGGGGGAAGGAAAGGCTCGGGGGGGGGCCCTGCGGGGGGGTTGCGTGGGTGTGTCAGCCCTGCTCCGATACCCGCGTTGCCGGTGCCCGGAAGAGTCGTGTGTGCAATAAACAACCTTGGATGTGGCTGCTTGGCTCTTCTTTCCAAATGGGGGGGGGGTCGTCTTTGGGGGGGGGGGGGGGGGGGGCTGCCGGGGGGTTTCCTGGGGGGGGGGGCGGGGGGGGGGGGGGGGGGGTCGGCCTGGCAGGATGGCCTTCTGTGGGGGGCCGGGAGGGGAGCGAGGCGGGTCCCCGGTCCCATCGTCCGCGGCCGGCGCAGGGCCGTGGCCTTACGCCTCGCATCATAGAGTTTCCGGAAGGAGCGCGCTAGGGGAAGGGCGCATGCGCGCGACCGCGCCATCGAGGGAACCGCCGCCGCCGCCGCCGCCATGACCTCCGCCTCCACCAAGGTACCCGCCGGCCGGGGCGAGGGTGCCTCTGAGGGCGGGCAGAGCGCCCGCGGCCCCGGCTGACCGCCTTTCCCGACCGCAGGTGGGCGAGATCTTCTCCGCGGCCGGCGCCGCCTTCACCAAGCTGGGCGAGCTGACGATGCAGCTGCACCCGGTGGCCGACTCCTCCCCGGCCGGGTGAGCGGGGGTCCCGGGGCCGGAGGGGGGCGCGCAGAGGGCGGCCGGGGCGCTGATTGTCCGCGTCCCGCAGGGCCAAGTGGACGGACGCCGAGATCGCCCTCCTGCGGGCCTCCGTGCAGCGCTTCGGCGACGACCTGCACCGCATCAGCGCCCTCATCAAGGACCGGACCGTGTAAGGCCCCCGCCCCTCCCCCGCCGCGCCCCCCCTCCCTCCCTCCCCCCTCCCGCTGACCGCCTCCTCCTCCCCCCCCCGCAGGGCGCAACTCAAGGCGGCCGCCAAGCGCAAGGCTTACGAGGACTCCGGGCTGCCCCCGCCGCCCCGCGCCGACTCCCCGAAGAAGCCAGCCGGCCGCAAGCCGCCCCCGCCCGCCGGCCCCGCGCCCCCGCCGCCCGAGCCGCCCGCCGCCAAGAAGCCCAAGGTGGACCTGACCCTGAGCGCCCTGAACGAGGCGGACGCGCCCCGGGAGGAGGGCGACGGGCTGGTGGGCGAGGCGCCCCCGCCGGCCAAGAAGCTCAGCTTCGACCAGGGTAAGGGCGGGCGGGCGGGCGGGCGGGGGGAGAGCGAGAGGGGGTCCCGCTGCCCCCTCCTTTCTCTCTCTCTCTCTCTCTCTCTCTTGCAGACAGCCTGAGCCTGGAGCCCGGATTCCTGCTGACGCCCGGCGGAGCCGACCTGCCGCTGCTCTCCCGCTGAGCCCCCGCCCTCCGGAGCCCCCCCTCCCCAGCTTCTGCCCGCACCTCCGGCAGGGCCTGGCGGTAGGGGGCGCCCCACCTCAGGGTCGCCAGGCGTCTGTGCCTCTTCTTGTCCTGGAGCCCAATAAAGGCTGCTGTGCTCTGGCTTGGGTCTCCCCGGTGCCTTTGTTGGGGGTCAGGAGGGTGGGGCGGGGCTGTCCTTCCTGACCTCGCGGCAGGGCCCCCCTCACTGCAGCAGCACAAGGAACACTGGCTGCGAGCAGCAGAGGTGCCAGTATTGAGGTGCTGCTAGAGCTGGGCTGGCAGAGCAGGTGGGCCGGGGGTAGCCCCAAGGCGAGTCCTCCCCGCCCCCCCTTGTTCCTGGGGAGGTGTGGGCGCCTCTGCCCAGCTGCCGGTCGAAGGCGTCCTGGCCGCTCGCATTAGCACCACAAAATGGGTTGTGGATTCCTGTTTGCCAACAAACCATGTTGTGCTGCTGTTGCGTACGCCAGCGTCAATAGCTTGGAAAGGTTTTTGTGGTGCGTGTGTGTGTGAGAGAGAGACAACAGAGGAACCCTTGCAGCAAGAAGCAGCCCCCTGCCCCCAAATGCCTTCTGGCCTGCCTCCCACTTGTTCTTCGGAGCCCCTTCCCTTTGTCGCTTTGATTTCCCAGCAGTCCTCAGGACAGAGAAGAAGGGGTGCCCGGAGGCACAATGGGGGGGGGGTACCTCTTACCCAATTTTTCCCAAATCTGTCAGCCAGGGTGGGGAGACTCTTGCTTCCACCCCACTACCCCTGAACTTGAGGAATATGGGATGGATGGAGGTCCCGAGGGCAGGCAGGATAGGGGTGGGGGTGGACAACTGGACCAGCTGGTGGTCCCAACAATAGGGATGGCCGAGTTTGCCAGAAGAATCCCCACTTCCCCAAAGAAGTGACGCGGCCCACTTTGTGCTGAATGGAAAATGGAGACAACGCCCGAGCTGCCTTGGACTGACACCCTCCCGCCCCCAGCACAGTGTAAGATCCTCCTTCCCCGGCCAGCCTGCAGTTGCATAGTCCAAGGAGCAGATGTGCTGCGGCCTGGTGCCCCTTTGCCCAGGGCTTTGCCCCCACAAACACAGGGTGAGGAAGAGTCGGGCATTCTGCAGAAGAGGTCAAGACAGCACCCAAGACCTGTCTCTCCCCCCAAAGTCCTACAATGGTCCAGAAGGGGACTTGGCTGCTTCCGATGGGTGGGGCTTGCCTGCCTGCACTATCGCCACGTACATGGCTGTAGCAAACCACTTTCTCCCCTCCCCTCCTCCTGCCCACCCCCCCAGAGGCATGCTCGGTTCCCAAGTGGGCCTCCCCAGGTAAGATTTGCAGCAATGGCCCCCATTTGGATGGCAACAGAAAGGGCTGCTTCTCCTGTTCCAGGGGAGGAGCTCCTTGCTGGGGGTGGGGGGGAGCAGGGAAGGAAGGGCAGCGGGGCCTTTTCTGATCTGTGGGCTCTTGGGGGAGAAAAGGTCAGCCCACAATCTGCTAAGTCAGAAGATTTGGGTGGGAGCTTTTGAACACACTTGGGAGTTTTTGGTTAAATTGGGGCAGATAAGTGTTCACCCCCAAAAATAGGATGGGGAGGGGTCAATCGAACTGTAGGCCAGGGGAAAAAAATCTGGGCCTCGTCTGCCATCTTGATTTTACCTCCCAAGTCACCCCTCAGTCCCACTGGCAAGACTACATCAGCCCCTCCCCCCCGTGTCCCTGGCGGCTTGGATGGGGGGCAGGAAGAGCACAGGAAGGCTTCTGTCATCGCCTGTGGGAACCCTGCCACTCCTGCGCCTTGAAGTGGGGTGATTGCATCAGTTTCCGCAAAATTTGGGGAGGCCTTGGAATAGCTGACCGGCTTAAAAGAAAAATCTGGAGGGGGGGAGGGCGGAGGGGGCACTGCTTTTCTAGGCAGTGGAACAAAGGGCACACCCAAATCAAGAGATTAGTTCTGAGGAGGGAGACCAATTTGGGCCAAATCCTTGGGAAACAACCTTGTAAACAAATTGGGTGGGCTGAGGAGGGGCTGGAGGGGCCCTAACAGTTAACTTATTTCTATTTTTGAGTAAAATGTTTGATAGGGGGAGAAAGGCTGAGGTTTCCACCATTCTGGGGCCTGACCTCTCTGATCCTCAGGCAGCCCCCATTTCAAATCTGGGGGCTCCTTGGCAGGGTGGGAGCTCCCTCCACCCCCAGCCCTTCATTTGGCATCCTGGCCCTATGCCCCCCTCCCCCGGCCTGGCCCCTGGAAGGAGGGTGCCCTCTGAAACACCCAACTCTCTTGCACAGAGGGGCTGCTTCTTGGAGCAGCATCGACTGCCCAGGGGACATGCCTTCTCTGGGGTTGTGGGGTGGCAAGGGAAACGGGGGGGGGGTGCCTGCCAGCTTCCCTTCCCAAAATCCAGCCTGGCTTTCTTTTGGCCCCCTTTTTACTCAGCGTTATTAGGCTGTCCTTGTAAGGCTGCTTCCACCCATGTCTTGTCCACCCCAATTGACTCCTGGTGGGGGAAAATTATGGCAATTTGGGGGCTCATGCAAGGGGCCGTGCCCATTTTCTGACTGGCGAACGCTTGACTAGGGCCTGCTAGCCTTCCCTTTACAGTCAGGGTGTCATTGTGGGCACCGAGCCGAGAGTCCTGCCTGCCTCTGGCCTAGCACCTACTTCTGAACCACAGACATACCACCCCCATCCCTGTACACACCCCCTCCCCGCTTACCTGCTCTGCAGACCCTTGCCCCCTCCAGATGATCAGGGATCGTGTTTTCCAGAAGTCTTAAGTTTAGCCCTTAAAAAAAATATTTTGCAGCCACGGCAAGCCAAGACTGGGGTGTTCCCTTTTGCCACCCGATCTTGGCATTCAGCTCTCTCTGGATCCACGGGGGCCCGGTCCCCCACCCCCAAAAAGGGAGCATTTGTCCCTCTTCCTGCTCCAACAAGGGAAGTTGGGGAGCTCCTTCCCGTTCGCCCCAAAGATTTGCCACCCCTTTTCAGGGAATCCGGAATTGGAAAAAAATAAAAAAAAACAGAGGGTGCCCCCGCATCCCCCCCAGAGCTGCCAGCCCCTTCCGTGCTGCGATTAGGGAAGGCAACGAGAAAGAGAGAGAGAGAGAGAGAAAAACAGGGCAACTGAGAAAAGCCTGGTCCTTTTTCCCCCTACGCAACTTTCTACACTTGAATAAACCCCTTTGGGGGGGTGGAAAAAATCTGCAAAAAATTCAGAGGGGAGGCCAGGCACCCCCCTGGATGTGTGTGAAATTTGGAGCAAATCCAGACAGCCGTTTCCCAGCAAAAAAAATTGCTTTCCAACGGCTCTCTCTCCCGCCAGCTTTAACGTCCCCAGCTGACTTTGTCGCGGTGCCAACTTGTGCGTCTGGATTGGCAGCCCCCCAGCATTTCAAACGGTCACTTTGTCTCTGAGCAGCGCCCAGAAACCCCAGCCTGTGCAGGGCTCACCTGTGGCCCTGGACCCCCATGGCCCCCACCCCCAGCTCCCATCTGGGCAGGGCGCTGGTTGGCTCTTTTCTTAACATAGAAGGCCATGGTGGTGTTGAAACATGTGGTGTGTGTGTGTGTGTGTGTGTGTGTGTGTGTGTGCCTGCGCACGCATCCATGTGCTAGCTCCACTCACGAATCTGCCGATGTGAAATCAGAGCCTGGTTTACCAGCTGTCCTGCAGCAGCAGCAGCTCCCAGCTCCTGACGTGCCTGGTCATACAGATTCCTGGGACAGGCCACCCCACGGAAGGGAGCCCCCCCCCCGCACCGATCCCCTCCCTATACAAGCCCCATTCCCGCCCCCACCCTGGCCTGGCCCTCTCCAGGCAGCAGGCAAGAATCAGAGGGCAGCACACTTGGCTTGGCCCCAGGGCCAGGGCCCCTGTGTGAGCCCCAATTTGCAGCTGCAGCAGCAGCAGCCATGGAGAGTCCTTCCACATAGTCTGGGCAATGCCAGGCTGCCCCTGAGGGCAGGCAAAGGCCCATGGCAGAGAGTGTCCGAGCGCCTTTCTTTTCCCTCAGACTCATAGATTCAGGGGCTCTGTGGAAAGGATGGGGGCGGGGATGCAGGAAAGGCCAATACTCTGGCAAGATGGAAACCCCAACAGTCTAGCCCCAGAGTTGCTTGGTGACCCCTGTCTGCACAACTCACAGGAAACACCCCCCCCTCCGCGGGGTTGGAGAAGTGCATGTCCATAGTCTCCCCTGCTGCTGCTCCTCCCATCTAGCCCAGCTCCTGGACCCTATGGGTAAACAGAGAAGAGAGCTGGGGCTTGTCATTCACTGACATTTAATACAGAGATGCCAAAAGTGGGGGAGCTCTGGCTATCCCAAGGGACAAAGCAGATCTTTGAACATGTACAGAAATACATATCAAAGAAAAATAATTCTGCAAATTGCCCCCCTCCCCAAATACAGTTAACTAGCAATCTATGATTCTCAGGTGGAGGGAGAGATTCTGGCACTTTTGCAGCAGTGACACAATCAGCCTGTTGAGCCTTTACAATGTGCAGCTTCAGCACCAGGACTTAGGGCTCCCCCCCTCCGCTTTTCTTTCTCTGTTTGGGGACACAACTGCAACTCTCTTAAAGGTCTCCCCAATATCCTCAATGAGCCCTTCCCGAGAGACCCTCTTTTCCTCTGGTCTGGACCCTCCAAAGAAGGAACCTTGCAGGTGATGAGAGGAAGGGGGGGGGGCTTCACAGGCCCTCCTCGTGACCTGCCCCTGGCAGAGACTGGCAGACGGGGCAGTGCTTTCCCCCGCCCCGCCACCCCAGTGCTGGGCAGATCTGGCCCTTGGCCCCCATTTGGGCCGCAGTGGTGGGTGAGCACTGGCGAACCGAGTTTGAATCAGGAAGCCCAGCCGTTACCCTCCGGCCAAGGGGCGCTTGGGGACGCCCGCTACAGGGAGCTTCCCCCAGCCTCCCCCCCCCAGTAAGGAGCAGCAGGGAAGCGAGCGCGGCACCCCCCTCCCACACCAGGAAGCTTGGCTCGCATTTTGGCGGGTCCCGGAAAGCCCCCTCCCCCCGAGTTGCTCAGCTCTTCCAGCTCCTCAGTGGCTGTGGATGTTTATGGACGGGGAGCGCACTACCCCCCCCCCAGCCCAGCTTCGCAGACGCCAAGCCTTCGGGCTTCCCGGAGAACGGGGCAGGGAGCGAGAGGAGGGGTAAGCCTGCCCCGCCCGTTCTCAGAGCTATCCCCACGGAGGGTTCCGGGCGGAGCTCCTGCCTCGAGGCCGGCTGAGGACGCAGGATAAGCGGAAACTCCAGCTCCGAGCCAGCATCCCGGGAGCGCAAGAGGTCTTTGGCTCAGCGGGCCCGGCCATTTGGCGCCTCGCCTGCCGGCAGTCCCGCAGCCACCTGCTCCGGAGAGCCGCAGGAGAAGGAAGGGGAGATGCAGCAAAGGCTCCGAGGACTCTGCGCTTCACCTGCAACCGCTTCGTGCCCTGGCAATTCCGATGGGGGACTCAGTCAGCCCGCTCACCGCACGTGGCGAAGGATGCGCCGGCCCCGGATTCCTCCCCCCCCTCCGGCTCAGGCGGGCTAGCGGCCCCTCCGGAATCCGCAAGGCCCTGCAGCCCCCACGCGGCCGGTCGGTTTCCTCCGCACGTGCCCGGAGCCTCGGCGCGACCGTCTCTTCCCCTTCCCTCCGGCCCAGCCAGGCAGAGACCAAAGCTCGGGATCCACAACTTTATTGTTGTCAAACACAGACGAGAGCTCCGCGTGCAGCGGTCAGGCATGCGGGAGGCGGGCGGGTCCCGAGGCCCGGAGTCCGCGGGAGGGAGGGCTGCGGTTAGCCCTGGCTGCGGTCGGCGGGGGAGGGGTCGACTGGAAGAAAGCAGAAGGGGGGTTCGCCTGTTGCAGCATCTGCTGCAGCTCTGGTGCTATATACAGTTCAAATATAGATATAGATTAAATATATATATATATATATATAGCTATATATTTACCACATTTCCTCTTTAAATAAATATATACAAATCCCTGCTGAGTGGGCAGGCTCAGGGCACAGGATGGGGAGGGCTGGGGGGCCGGCAAGGGGCAATCGAGACCGAGGGGGTGGCCTCCCCAAGGAGCAGTAGATCAACTTGCTGCGGGGGGTGGGGGGGCTGGTGCTGGGCTCCTCCGGGTGCTTTGGATCAAGAGACAAACCGGCTCCTTGTCAGCGAAGTTGGGGGAGGGCGCCTGGGGGCCGATGCCAGCTCCTCCCATCACAGCTCCGAGCAGCGGTCCTGCTTGTTGTAGTGGTCGAACTGACTCTTCCAATGCATCATGTAGGCGCTCCAGAGATGGAACTCCAGTTTCCACTGCCGCTCGGCCTCCTCAATGTTGTCTGGGGGATGCCAGCAGAGAGAAAAGGGGGGAGGGAGGGGGAAACAACAACATCCAGGGACATGGGGGGCAAGGAGAGAGGGTGTAAGGGAAGGCCATCGAGTGAGGATGGGGTCACTTCAGGGGGCAGGCTGAAGGGCCGGCTGGGGGGGGGTGTCTCAGGGTTTTCTCCGAGGGAGGGCTGGTTCTTGACAATGGGGCGGCCTGCTCAGCGCTTGACTGGCCTTGTGATTCTGGGCAGAAGCCTGGAGAGGCAGTCGGGGGGGCTCCCCTCCCTGCCCCTTGTGCCAGGGCTGGGTGGTGGGAGGGCCGTTTCCAGCAGGGATGGCGCTGTCTCGGGGAAGGTTCTGGAGTGGGGCATTTTGCTTTTGGAAAAGGAAATGGGGCAGGTTGGTCCTGGGAGCGAAGAGACCTCGCCCTTGTTTGGCAAAGCAGCTTTGGGCCCAGCGGAGCTGCACAAGAATGTGAGGGGGAAGGGCCCAGGATATGACCTCCGGAAGGGGCAGAGGGAGAGGTGAATTTTGGATGCAAAGATCCTCCTGAAGCCCCCTCCTCTTTTTGCTTTCTGTGAGCAGCCTCCTTCCTGACCTGGAGCAGCACAGCAGGCCTGGCCAGTTTCCTCCCTGCCTGGTTCACACAACCCAGCTAGGAAAGGGCTTGCTGGCCATTTCCCAGCTGAGTGCAGTTGGCGGAGGAACAGCTGCACGCCAGTTCAGCAGACACCCCCAGCCTGAACCGTCTGATGCCATCTTGCCATGGGCACCCATAACCGTGAGCTGAACGGCACCTGGCTTGCTTGCCAGAGGGGCCAGGAGATGCCCTCAAAAACACCTGGGCAGCTGAGGCTGCTCCCTGCTGGCACCAATGCAGCTGGCAGGGGGCAGCCTCTCTTCTGTTCCCGAGCTGGGAATGCAGCCCCTCCCCACTCTCCATCCACTATTGCCATTGCCTTCTCTTGTCCCAGCCAAGTGGCCTGCAAGGCATACATGTATCTCCCCTTAGCCCCCTGCGGAGGAAGGGGGTCCAGTGCCTGTTGAAACCTTGCCACCCTCAGGAGCTGAAGGAACATAGCCTAGCGCGTGGAGTGGGCTTGGGTGCTGATTCTGCACCCCCACTTTGTCCTCTCCTTCATCCCACATCCCTCACTGCCCAAGGTCCTAACATGGCTCTGAGCCTGAGAAAGCATCTGGAGCAAGCCCTCCCTGCTGTCCAGAAGCTGCCCCCTTCCTCCTGTGCTCACTTGTCTGTGCTGCTTCTGGCTTGGAGACCCCCATCTCTTCGGCTACCACGAAGGCCCCTCCTGAGGCCCTGGCTAAATCCGGAAAGCCAGCTCTCTGATGCTTCAGAAGCCTCAGGGAAAGCTCCATAAAGACAGTCATAGAGATTCTTTAGAGCAAGATTGGTCTTTCTCAGGCTCTGGGGGGTGGGGTGGAAAGGCCAGGGGGCTTTTTCAGCTGTTCTGGGACTCAGGACCCCCTTCCTGCTCTCTGCAGGGCCCCTCCAGGATTCCTGGCCACCATCCGCCTGGCTTCCTCTCGTTCTTGCACAGGCGCCCTGCGCGGCTGAGGTGAGTTTTCCTTCCACTGGACTCCCTTTCCTGGCAGCACCACTTCCTGCCACCCACCCCAGACCTGGGGGGCATTCAGGACAAGAGCAGAGGGGCAAAGGGAGGCCCTGGTGGGAACTGTTGTAAATGCTGGCAAATACTACAAGGGAGAAGAGAATGCAGCATTCAAGCCAGGCCGGGGAGGGAGTGGGTGAGCCTGTTGCCTGCCAGAGCAGCCCAAGGGATGTTAACTGAGTGAAGCCAGCAATGGCTTCTTCACCCAAGGCTGCAGAAGGGTGTGTGTGGAGGGGGCGGGTGGAGGGTCTGCTGGGCTGAGAGGGGCAGAAGGCCTCCTGGCCTGAAGAAGGGCTGCTCTGGCAGAAAGGAGAGAGCTGTCAGGTCTGGTGAAGTGGGAGACCACGGCTGAGAGGAAGGCGGAAGGCCAGCTCTTTGAAGCTACTCTCCCCACCTTCAACTAGATTGGATGCGGCCCTCCCCATCACTGCACCCCTCCCTCCACCACCCCAGGGCTCACCTGTCGCGCTCAGTAGTTTGGGGAGAAAGTGGTTCCAGAAAGCACAGATCTGGGCACGTAGGTTGCGCTGGGTGGCCAGCGGCTGGGTGTTGAGCTGGACATACTGCTGCTGGGAGGTGGTGTAGGATGGCCAGGCCCTGTCCTCAGCAGGTTCAGTGGGGCTCCTGTGTAGAGACAGAAAGGGGACCTGCTATTGACAGACAGGCCTCCCAGCTGCCACGGCCTCCTTCCTTTTGCAATTTGTGGGTTGTGGGACACCCTGATCATGCTTTGCCTATCCTACTTTCCTACCTCCAGGCCTGCCCTTTCTCCCCAGGCAAGACGCTGTTGGGGTTCTCATTCCCAAATCCAGTGCACCCAGGAAAATCCCCCGGGCCTGCCCCCATTTCCATCTTCAATTTGGAACCAGATGTCCGGCATAAGGCCTCCTGCCTGAGCAGGGGGTTGGACCAGAAGACCTTCAACGTCCCTTCCAACTCCGTTATTCTGTATTCATGCAGATGTGCAGGGACAAGTCTTCCAATGGGGTCTCAACATATAAAAGTATATTTTAGAAGTCCCTTTTTCTGGTGTGGCTGCTAAAGCTAGCACAATAATCGAATGAAGGCACCCAAATGGATGTCTCGCCCTGTCCCTTGTTTAAGTTTGAAGCCCGAAGATCTGCACGAACCTTTTCTTGCCACCAACGTTCATTTCTACTTTTACAAAAAGCTGTTTTCTGCATTTGTGGTCTCCCGCTTCCCTCCATGCCCTCCAAGTTTCTGTCTGCCTCCCCTTCCTTGTCCAGTGGCCCCCTCTGCAGTGCCAGGTCCCCCCCCCCCGTTCACCCCGGTGGCTGCCCCCCCCCGCCCCGTTCACCCGGTTACCCTGTCCGGGCGAAGTTGACCCAGTAATGCATCATCCTGCGGCTCAGCTCCTTCTCTTGGGCCGTGTAGTTCAGGGTGTCATTGAGGGGCAGTCCAAAGACAAACTCGATCTCATAGCCGTGGGGGACCCCCATCCACTGGGGCCAAACGAGGTTGGAGGCCCGGTGGTCAAACAGATAGGTGTACACCTTGTTGCCGCGCTTTGCGTAGTGATTGGCAAAATGCATGACTGGGCAGATGACATTGTGGTCCCCCACGATGTCGTCCATGGCCTCCCGGTTCTTCTCCCCGCTGTCTTCGTCCTGCCAGTCTGTATACTGTAGCACGACAGCCTCGGTGGCGATGTCGTTGGCATGTGGCACGCTCATCCGCACCCCTTCCAGGAAGTCATCCCGGCTGATGAGGCTCTCGTTGTCCTTGCTGAAGCCGGGCACCCCGTAGATCAGAAAGTAGGAGCCCTCATCCTTGACCACTCCCAGCAGAACCTGGGTCTCCTTGAAGTTGCCTGTGCCGAGCATGGCCTCGGGGGTGTCTGGAAAGAAGTCCCCGTCAATTACCGGCACGAAGGGGAAGCGGAAAGTGCTCTTGTAGGGCAGGACAGACCACTCCTCGTCAATCAGCTGCTGAGGGGTTTTAGAGCGCAAGCAAATGACCAGCTCGGAATCATTGGTGAAGTGGCAGCCCACCTGCTTTCCCAGAAGGGTTGCGCGGCGCCGACTTTCTGCAGGTGTCACGGTGGCCCATGGCGCATTGGGTGCACCGCTCTGCAGAATAGCCCGCTGGAAGAGGGCCCGGCTCTGGGCAGAAAGCAGGTGCATGCCCACTGAAGCGGCCCCAGCACTCTCCCCAAAGATGGTGACCGCTTTCGGATTGCCCCCAAAATGCTGGATGTTGTTCTGGATCCACTGCAAGGCCAAGCGCTGGTCCAGCAGCCCCATGTTCCCCGGTGCCTCCTGACTCCCCAGGAGGCCCAAAAAGCCCAAGGCCCCCACGCGGTAGCTAAGGGAGACCAGGATGACGTTCTGTGTGTAGGTCAGGATGCGGCCATCATAGACATCCAGGGAGGCAGAGCCGCTGTAGAAGCCCCCTCCGTAGATCCAGACCAGGACGGAGATGTTCTTCGGGCGGGGGGAGGGCACCCAGATGTTGAGGTAGAGGCAGTCTTCGCTCATCCCCCAGTTGGGGTTCCACATCTCCGTGCCATGGAATCCTGGGTAGGTGTTGTCCACCATCTGGTAGCAGGCGCGCTGGTAGGAAGTGGCATCGAGAATGTGCTGCCAGGGCCTCACAGGCTCAGGGCGCAGGAAGCGCATCCTGCCCACGGGAGGCTCCGCAAAGGGGATGCCCAGGAAGGCCGAGACGTGGCCTCCGAGAACGGGCATCCGCATGCCACGCACCCAGCCCGTCTGGGTGGCCACTTTCAGCTCGTCCGCCTGGCCAGGCAAGACTGCTATGGAGGATGGGACACAAAGGAGGAGCTGGAGCCACCAAAGCCATGGCGCAGGCATCTTGCCAGGTGGGCAGGAGGGCATCTGCAGGGGAGGGGGGGCAGAGTGAGAAATGCACCTCCCCAGCCTGGCCGTCTATGCCACCCAATAAAGACCCTTCCATCGCCTATCGGCTCAGCCAAGCCAGCGACTGAGCTCATCAGAGACAGATAAATAGCAGCGGCTGTGGGAGGAGCCAAGAGCGGCTCCCCCCACAAGAGGGGGGGTCTGTGTTAAGGAGGAGGCCCTGACCCAGGCTGCTGAGAGCATCACAAAGCTGCCCCCCCCTCCCGAGAGTGTTCACTGGTGGGCCTGGTTCATTGGCTCCCTGCCCACCCAGCCTCAGCCTTTGGGGTGGGGGGTGCTGTTTCTTCTTTTTGTCTTTAAGCAGGAAGGGGTGATAAGCCAGCCCAATTGCTTGAGCCTTGCCAATTTTGTGTATCCATAAACTATTTATTATTCATATATTTAAGTACTGTTACTTAGACATAGGAAAAGTGCCTTTTTCCTATTGGGTCTGGAGCTGAGCTGCTTTGTTCAGCCGAAATGGCACCGACTTGAGCAGGCGCACCTGCCCCCCCCCCGCTCCGCTCAGGAACACCTGGCCATCGAGTGGATGGAGGGGGAAGGCTGGGGATCAGATAGGGGTCTCAGCCCACCAGGTAGCCCTTAGCTGACCCCTGTCACTAGCCATACAGGAGATGGGTGTGGGATGTGGCTCTTGGGGCGTGGTTTGTAGTGTTGTGCATCCCCATGATTGGCTCCTGGCAAGGAGTGCTATTCAAAATTGTATAGAAGGGGCTCCCGACTCCAAGCTGGGGGTGGGGGTGATGATGCCTGTTTGGAACTTGCTTCCAAGCAATCCATTCCTTTGCAAGTGAAAGTTTCCCTTCCCACCTATCAAGTGAGACTCCTTGGGCCCACAGGCCAGCTCAAAGGACCGGAGCTTTCTGGGGCAACGGAGGGGGGTTGCCTTGTGCTAAAATAGGCCAGGTATTAATTACCTGTATCTCCGCATATCTGTATCTTTCTATCATCAGAAGACATTTCATCTGGTCTATCTCCAACCTGGTTAATTGTGCTCCTTGGTGGCTCTTGGGGCACAGCCTCCCTCATTGACTGGATTGAAGGCCCCCCATATGTGGGGGGGGCAAAGGATGCTCCCTCCTCCTTGTGTCCCATGAGCCTCTGCTTTCCTGGGAGAGTACAGCAAGGCTCTGCTGTGTCACTTGAACCCTTTTCCTTTACCAGCAGGCTGCAGAGGGTGTGGCTCGGACCCTGTCTCTCGGGCGGGGGGGGGGGGGGGGGGGGGGGGCTGCCAGGCCTTGGCTGTGGCAATGGAGGGGCCCACCTTTCATCCGTTCAGCCTTTTTGGTTGGTGGACTGGCTGGGCAGGGTCTGGGTGCCTCCTCAGAGGGGCGTGTATGACTAGTCCGCTGTAATCCAAGGCTGCTTCAGAATGTCACCCCTGCACCACCCCTGATCATTCACCCTCAGAGGACTCAGGCCCTCTGGCTCAGCAGGGGGGGTTTCTCGTGAACTTCAGGAGGGAGGGAGGGGAAGGGCTTCTCTGCAGAGGGCCTGGCTGCATCATTGAGGCAGAACAGTGGGCTGAGGGGGGGGGTGTTTTATGGCTGCTGCTTGACAGGCCCCCTTACAAGGATCAGCCAAAATGGTGAGCAAAGGAGAGGCTGCAGAAGGATCAGTCAAAATCTGCATTTCTAGATGGAACCGTTGGGGTGAGAGCAGGGTGTGTGTGTGTGTGTGTGTGTGTGAGGGGGCGGGGCGGGGGGGGCAGAATTCTTGCATGCAATAGGATACAGGGAAGGCTGGTTCCAGGCGGGAGTTGGGGGAAAATCATCTTCAAAGGTACCCAGGTAGAGCTTTGCGCCGCATGGGTTCAAGGGGGCTCTGCTGGGGATGATGGGGATTGGATTCCTGTGTGGAGCAGGGTTGAACTAGGCGGCTTGAAGGGTCTGTGGAAGTTGAGGCATCTGCAGCACAAACTCCATTACTTCCAGATTCTCCCCTGGGCTTCTCAACTCTTCTCGTTTGTGGCCGTTGCTTATGGAAGAAATTAACTGCAGGCCGGCTGAGGAAGGACAGGAGACCTCCAAGCAGGGGGATTTGGACCCCCTGTTTCATTCCAGGCCAGTTGGCCGGCAGCTGTTCAGCTATTTAAAGAACTCGGGTCAGAAATAAACCAGCAGAGCTTTCTATGCCAGTGTGAGAGTGCCAGCAAGCGAGACAAAACAATTGTCTGTCTGTCTGTCTCTCTGTGTGCTGGAGCTTTTGCAGTGGGCTCCTAGCATGTGCAAGAGAAATGCCCTCTCTTGGCCTGGCACAGTCTTTAAAGGAAGAATGCCAGGGTCCCACTTGAGGCCTCGGGTGTCTGCCCAGGCTGGGGGTCAAAGTAGCTGCTTCTCAGGCAGGGGTGGGGGTGGGGGAGCAGCTGTTGCTTCTTCCCCAGGGAGGCTAGGCAGGAAAAATAGCTCCACTGGCATCACTGACCTGTCAGGAGAGCCTTCATCCGGAACTCCCCTCCCCCCACCATGGATTAGCAGCCGAAAACTGACCCAGCAGCCAGGACAACATCTGAGTCTGTTTGTCTTGTGAGCTGGCAACACCACCTAGTCCCTCCACTAGGAAGCGGAGGGGAGGGGCTGCCTTGCCCACTGCTGGCTTTGACCCTGGGGAGTCCAGCACTCTCTTGCCCCAAGTGAGAGCCCGGCTTTCCCGCCTCACAGGCAGTGGGTATGCTGGCCCTCTGTCCTGCATTGGTCCTAGAAATGACCCTTCCTTGTGCAGCTTTGCTCGTGGCTCAGCCCCTTCCCTCCTGCCCACCTTGATCTTGGGTGCCAAAGTCCTTAGCGGAGGTTTGTGTGGCTGCAAAGTGGCATGCCTGCCTGATGGCCCAAGCCTTCCCTGGCTCCCCCCTAGTTGTGACCTGATCAAGCCCACATTCTTTATGTTGATCAGGCTGGTGATGACCCGGGATGGAGTCGGGGACCCTCTGTTAGCCTCACATGGGGAGCTAAAAAGGATTACCACAACAGATGCCTACAATCTGCAGGTGATGTGCCCACGGGTTGTTCCACCTCTGCCAGTCTTATGGGCAGCCCTCCTCATTCAGTCTGTCTGCAGAATGGGAGCCAGCAGGTCGCTCAGGGAAGGATGGAGCCTGGTCCCCTCGGGTGGAGGTGAAGCTCTCAGGTGTGGGGGCAGACCCAGGACTCCTTAAGTATGGCCCTTTGGTGGACACATGGCAGCTGCAGCTTGAGCCACATCAGCAAATGAGGCCCCGCCCAGCTAGGTTGGGCACGATCTCAAAGGTGTCCCTCTTCCTTCTCTTTGGTGGTTGCTGAGAGAAGGCTCCCACCCCCACCCCACCCCCCTTGCCACTCAGAGAAGCTCACAAGCCACTGATCTGACTTGGTCCCCCCCCATCTTTGGGACAGAGAGGGTGTGTCTAGTGCATGCCCCCATTCCTCCTTTGCAGAAGCTGGAGACGTGGCGTTTTCCCCACCCCTCAGGTTTCCTATGGAGAGATGACCGAAGCTCTCAAGGAAGGGGGGCCACAACCTGCGGAGGAGAAAAGAGCCCGTGCACCCAGGGGGGCAGTTGAGAAAGGAGGAGGGGGCTTCGGTTTGTGCACTGGAACATTCAAGCATTGTTTGGGCACTGTGGGGATGTCTCTTTAAGTGCTGAGTGGCAAGCAATTTCCTCTTGCAATTTGACCTAAGGACAACATCCTTAATGGCTGTGTGTGTGTGTGTGTGAGACTGCTTGACCTGGGAAAAGCAGCCTGTTTAGAAGCTGCCAGGAGATGCTGTGAAGGGAGCCGAGCTGTCCAGGGGGAATTCTCTCAGTTGCCTCACAAGACCAGGGGCAACCTTGGAGCTCCAGAGAAAGGTGCCCAACAGCTGGGCAGGCTGGAAAGCCGAGCAAGGCTTGCCAGCTGGTCACGCTTGAGTGGAGACCGCCAGGGTGTCTCATTGCTGAGCCATCCCCAAAGAAGTCTCCAACAGTGCCTTTTCTCCTGCAGCCGCCAGCCCCACATTGGCTCCCTTTCAGCCTAGGGCCCCTTACCTTGCAGTGGGAGAGGCACCCCTCCAGTAGACTTACCATCCTTTGCTTGGCAGAACCGACTCACTTAGACCTGCAAGCATCAGAGAAGCCCCCGACCCGCTTTTGTCTTCCCCACATGCTCTCAGGCAGGGAGACCTGGCCGCTCGGGAGACGGTGAGGATGCCGGGGAGACCCCCTCAAGGCGCCGAGCAGTTGCACGTGTCCAGCGGGAGCATGCGTGGAAGGGTTGGGGGACGGGGCCAGCTAGTCTCGGCGCTTCTGGAAGTCTCTCCCTCCCCTTGTCCGGCCGCAGGCGGTCCAGGTTTTTAATAGACCTGCCACCCCCCCGGCTCCCCCTTCTCGGTTTCCTGCAGCTGCTCTGTTGGCCCTGGGGACAGCTTCGCAGCTGTGGGGGCATAGAACCGAACCCCTCGCCCCAAGCAGCGCACGGCTAGATAGCTAGAGGGCTGCCCGTGCCCGTCCCAGGGGTCCCGGCCAGGGCTCCCTTTGCCTCTCCCTCCCGCAAGGGAGCCTCCAACCTCGGATCTTCCTCCCTCCCCGCCTAGCTTTCAGAGGACGCGGCGCCTTCGCCCAGTCCTTCGGTTCGACCTGCTAGAGGGAAGGGATGGATGGAGGTGGAGGAATAATCAGGGGCGCTGTGGCACTCTGCGTATTCCTAGAGGCTCAGACGCAGAGGGACGCCTCGGCCCCTCCTCTGTCCAACTCGGTGGGGAGTCTCCGGGCGGCGGGAGAGCCCAGGTTTCCTCGTTACTTTGGGGGAGAATCGAAGTAGCCGCTTCGCTCTCTGGTTGCGAGAGGGAGGGGAGACGGCTCCCGGACGCGGGTCTTGCTGTAGGAGGCGAGGCCCCGGGCAAACGCCCAGGGAAGGGGGGAGAGGTGGGCCATCATTAACGCGGGCGCTCTCCGGCCGCCAACCGTTTCCCCCCACAGACGCCATCCCGTTACCTTGGAGGAGGAGGAGGGCGCCTCTGCTTCCTCCACTGCCGCGGGCTGGGCTGCGTCTGCGACGCCGGGCGGGCGGTGGCAGCGGCGCCCCCCCAGCCCAGCCGGCCCAGCCCTGCCTCCCGCGGCCGCGGCCACGTCTCGCGAGCCTTGCCCCTTCCTTCGCCGGGGCGGGAGGGGGAGGAGAAGTCGGCCAGCCGTGGCCCCTTAGCCAGTGGAGAGGCTGGTCTTTGCCCCTTCCTCCCGGGAGACCAGACCCGGCATCCCCGACGGTTTGCAGTGGCCGAGGGGGATCCAGATTTGGAAGAAGACCCCTTCCTCACCATTCCCTCCCAGTTACCGCAAATTGGGGGGGGGGACAAAGCGCATTTCTTTGCCCCCGTGCCCCCCCCCGCGCCCCGTCCTTCTACAGAGGCCTGCTCAGCTGCAGGACTCCCTGACCGCTGAAACAGCCGAAATGCGGAGCTGGGTGGCCTCAGTCCGGCGAATTCTGAGCAGGTGACTCTCCGCTTTCAAACATTCTCAACCTCACAGGGTGCCCGCTCCGCCCCCTCCCCCCCCCGGAGCCACCAAGCACGTTTTGCGTGGTCTGTCGGTCCACGGGGTAGCCCGTTGCCAATTGTGGCTCAGTACCGCTGTGCCAGGGGCAGCCCTGAGCAATCCGGCAGAGGCTCAATCGCGAAATGAAGCGAATGGTAATGTGCATTGGCGTTTCACGTGTAGATAGCTACCCTCCACCCACATTTCTAGTCTTTTGCACCCAAAAATCTGAAGTTCTTGGAAACAAGGGAATTGGATCCCTCCCTCATCTCGAGGGGCCTGTTTCGGAGCCCTCGCGGAAGGCATGGCGCGCTGCCTCTGAGCGCGTGCAGAGGGCTTCCAGGCGGACGGGAGGCCAGCGCTCGCCTTGGCTGTCGCTCCAGCACCTCTGCGGTGGACAGCTCTGCAGCCCAGCTGAAATCTTGGCGCAGCTCCGCCTCCCCGGCTGGAGGAGTCCAGCCGCCGCCGAGGAAGGGTCGGCGAGGGGCCAAAGCGAGCCGTGGCCTGAGAGCGGCGAATGTGTATTTCGGGAGACGACCCCAAGAGTCCGCCGTGTAGATCCGCTTACCCGGAAGAAAGGGACCGGGGAGGGGTGGTTGCCGCGGGAAGAGTCCCCGAGCAGCCGCGCCAGCTAAAGCACTTCTCCGTGCTCGGGCCGCGCGGCCCACTTGCCACCCCGGCGCTCGCCACGGGGAGGCGATCGCGCCTTCTTTCCAAGTTCGGCCATCCCTCCGGGGAGACCCACCTCTTCTCCTGGGGCGCGCGCTCCCGACAGAGCCCTGCCTCTGAGCGTGCAGGTCCTGGGACGGGAGGGGCAGAGCACAAGCGGTGTACTCCACGAACGTTCCTGCTCACTGCTGTTTCTCCAGGCAGCCCTGGCCCCTCTCTCCAGCTGTGGGTCGCTCCTGGCCAGGCAAGCTCCCCCCAGATGTCCAGAGGCTCTCTCGGGCTCACAGCGGTGTGAAATTCTTGGGAGCCAGGTGGCTCAGAGCAAATTCTATTCTCTAACTGTAACACTGCCGAAGACCATTATAATATTTTCTTGCTCAAAGTCAATAGAGTTATTAAACTTTTTCTACCACTAATCACCACCAAAACTAGGAAAAACAAATTACCCATATCAATAAGAAAGCTCCAATCCAAAAAAACAAAAAAACAAAAACCCTTTGGCTTAAAAACAAAACTGGCTATTCAGCTAACTTTAAAAACCGCTACAAAAATATATGCCACCAAATAAAGACTGAATGCACCAATTACCACATCAAACAAGAAGAAAATCTTCTGCACACGAAATCCAATCAGGCCTTCTATAATTTGTAAACAACAAACTTAAAGACTCGAGATCCATCCCACCCCTAAAAGGACCTAACGGTAAAGAATGCAATGATGAATCTTTAACAAATTCTTTGGCTCAGTCTTTGTTTAACACATCCTTCGGCTCATGCCCAGCATTCCCTAGTCGTACTACTAATGACTACAACGATCTAACACAAATAGATTCACAGAAGATAATGTTGAAAAGGCACTACGTAGACTGAAATCATCTCTATCCATTGGACCTGATGGACTATGTGCATATTTCTTAAAAAAGCTTTCCACTGCCATAGCAGAACCCCTAAGCATAATCTTTGGAAAATCTTTCAGGACCAGTTTCCTACCCAACCTAGGGTCACTAGCCACGGTCATCCCTATCTTCAAAACTGGAGACCCCAGCCTAGTCGAAAATTACAGACCAATCTCTTTATGCTGCGTCACCTGCAAAGTCATGGAATCAATCATCAACCAATCCATTACCCTCCACCTAGAAACAAACAACCTACTCTCTAACAAACAATTTGGTTTCAGAAAAAAATTATCCTGTAATCTACAACTTCTACACTGCAAAAACATATGGACTACAAATATTGATCAGGGCAAAGCAATAGATGCAATTTACATAGACTTCTGTAAAGCCTTTGATTCAGTGGTACATAACAAACTACTTCTAAAACTAATCCTATGGCATCTCCGGACCCCTCCATAACTGGATAACTGCGTTTCTGTCAAACAGACAACAAGTGGTCAAAATAGGGAGCACCCTATCAAATCCTGCACCTGTTAATAGCAGTGTCCCCCAAGACAGCATTCTAGGACCAACACTCTTCATACTATACATAAATGACCTTTATGATCATGTTATAAGTAACTGCGTTCTCTTCGCCGATGATGTTAAACTATTTAACACTACCAACAATGCTGCTATCCTTCAAAAAGACCTTGACTTTGTGTCGGAATGGTCAAAAAATTGGCAACTCCAAATCTCAACCAACAAATGCTCTGTCTTACACATTGGCAAAAAGAATCAGAACACAAAATACAAACTGAGTGGATATGACCTTGTAGATGACCCTTACTCTGTCAAGGACCTTGGAGTACTCATATCAAATGATCTAAGTGCCAAAGCCCACTGTAACAACATTGCCAAAAAGGCATTAAGGGTTGTAAACCTAATTTTGTGTAGCTTTTTCTCCGGTAATATTACACTACTAACCAGAGCATACCAAACATTTGCTAGACCAATTCTCAAATACAGCTCATCTGTCTGGAACCCGCACTGCATATCAGATATTAATACAATTGAGCGTGTCCAGAAATATTTCACAAAAAGAGTCCTCCACTCCTCTGCTCGCAACAAAATACCTTATGCCACCAGACTTGAAATTTTGGGTTTAGAAAATTTAGAACTACGTTGCCTTCGGTATGACCTAAGCATAGCTTATTAAATCATCTGCTACAAAGTCCTACCTGTCAATGACTACTTCAGCTTCAACCACAACAATACACGAGCACACAATAGATACAAACTTAAAGTGAACTGCTCCAAACTTGATTGCAGAAAATATGACTTCAGTAACAGAGTTGTTAATGCCTGGAATGCACTACCAGACTCTGTGGTCTCATCCCAAAACCCCTAAAACTTTAACCTAAAACGGTCTACTGGTGACCTCAATCCCATTCCTAAGAGGTCTGTAAGGGGCGTGCATAAGAGCACCAGCGTTGCCTTCCATCCCTGTCCTAATGTTCCCTTTAATTGTACTCATTTTATGTATTCAATTCATGCTTATACTTACATATATTATCTAATATGTACTCGACAAAATAAAATAAATAAAATAAAAAAATAAAAAAATCTCTTCAATGCAGCTAGTCCTCGACTTACAAACGTTCATTTAGCGACCAAAGTTACAACCGGACTGAAAAAAATGACTTACGGCCATTTTTCAGACTTACGACTGTTGCGGCATCTCCATGGTCACGTGATCAAATTTCAGACGCTTGGCAACTGACTCCTATTTATGACGGTTGCAGTGTCCCGGGATCACGTGATCTCCACTTGCGACCTTTTGACAAACAAAGTTAATGGGGAAGCCAGATTCACTTAACAACTGTGTGACTCATTTGACAACTGTGGCAAGAAAGATCGTAAAACGGCCCAAATTTGGGGTTCGGCTGTGGTTGCAGGACTGCCTGCAGCTGCTGGGAAGAGGAAGAGGAAGAGAGGTGGAATGAAGAATTACCACGGGGAGGGGAAGGCTTGCAATCTGGGAGGGAAGGATGTGGGTGCCACTTGAACCCAGTCAAAGCAAGGGGCTCCGACAGATGGCCCACCCGCTCACACCCCGCTTCCCGGGTGACCTCAACTGGAGGGGATTAAGGCTGCCAGAGAGGCCCAAAGACTGGGGGAGGGGCTGCTGCCACCTACGAAGCCCTCTCTGCTCACAGGAAGGATAATAATGGTGATCAGAACTTTCTTACGCTGCAACCAAATTACTGTAACATACTCTGTCTAAAGGCCGTGATTTTCCTGAGATGAATAAATAGTAAATGATTCAACCTAGTAGATTCAACCTAAAAATAAGGAGAAATTTTATGACAGGGAGAACAATCGACCCATGGAACAGAAGTTGCCTTCAGAAGTTGTGGGAGCTTCATCCCTGGTGGCTTTCAAGAAGAGATTGGATGGCCATCTGTCAGAAAAGGTGTAGGGTCTCCTGCTTGGCTGGGGGGTTGGACTAGATGACCTATAAGGTCCCTTCCAACTCTGTTAATCTGTAAATCTGCCAGGCCTAACCCGGCCTTTTTTGGAAGAAGGGAAGCAGAGGCATTTCCAGCTCCTTGGCCATTTGCCTCCCTTGCAGCCCCCCAACTCCCTGTAAGCAGTGTTCAGCTCAATCTGGGACCTTCCCAGGTTCCCAGAGCAACAGTTGCTCTCCTAGCAGGTGGCCTGTGCCTGACAAGCCAATCCTCTGCTTTGGCCACAGTGGCCTTAATGGGAGACCCTGCAGCCGGAAGGCCCCCCACCCGCTTTCCCTGGGTTGTGATCTCCCCGTCTTGAGCTTTGATACAAGCCCCTGGGGTGTCACCTGTGAGAGACGGGTCACCCATTCT